TGTGTGTGTGTGTGTGTGTGTGTGTGTGTGTGTGTGTGTGTGTGTGTTTGTGTTTAAACACATGGTCAGTTTAAGTTTTTTATACTTTCTTCCTCTGAAAGCAAAAACACAGATACTGTATTTCTGTCATACAAATGGCAATAAGAGGGTAGAGCCATATACTTAAGCATAGGTAATGTATTTATGTGATGTCTCTGAAAATCCAGCTATGGCTTGGGACCAGTGGGTGGATTTTAATCAATTTTCAACCTTGAGAAAAATTGCCCTTAAAATATTACTGATCATGTGTGGCTTTGTTACCCAATCCTGTCCCTTCCCATATATGCCTACCCCAAATGTGCAGGTACTTTGAAGAACCCCCACCAGTCACTGGATTCGGAGCTAAACAATGCATTATAAGCTTATGTAATAGAAAAATAAAGGGGACATTTAATACCGTTTGATATGCATGGTTAGTAAGCACCTGTAGATTAGTCTTAAGGGGAAATTATTGATGTACTTTGGGAGGAGAAAAAGAAAGGGAGAGATGTTGGAGGGGGAGGGAAAATGACATTGTAAAAAAAAATTTCTCTGAAAATGTTCTTTTGCATTTGGAACGGTACATCTAGTAGAAATGTTGACACAGAGACCACTTCATGCCACAAATGGCTTTTAAAATGTAAACATTTTAATGTGCCTCAAGATGTGCCCATACTTGTTATTTGGATTGTAATTGAAAACTCACTTGCTAGGTCAAGGTTTACATGAAAAGTCAGTGAATAGAATTCTTGTGGAAGATGTAAACATCCAGGAGGCCATGATTCTGAAAATTGCATTGCGTCTTTAAAGTACCCCATCAGCCAGGCATTGATCCTCACAGGGAAGGTCTCCTGCCTTGGTTCAAACCTGTTGGAAAACTAGGGCTAATGGTTAATGACTATTAACCATTCCTGATTGATGGACAGGTCAGGAGCCAAGGTAGGGGGATGATAACTGGCCTTGTTTCTGATTTTTTTTTTTTCATTCTGGATCTCTTCTTTCACAAAGTTGTTCTCTCCCACCTTGCTTATCTACCCTCGTGGTATAGACAAGTAGACAGCTGCTGGCAAAAAGTCATAACTGGTATGTCACCAGTTTATCTTAACTCTGCCATAAGAGTGAACTTGAAGACAGCTGCCAAGTATCTCGGGTAGCTGTGTGACCACCGAGGACAGGACACGCTGTCAGCCAGACACTTTGATTATTGCGAGGTAATGAACTCATCATACTGCAGAGAGCCATTTTTGTACTCAGGAAGTTTTGTAGGCCTTTGTTCAAACCCAGGCGCTGACACGTACCACCTGTGTGATCTGGGGCATGTCCCTTCATCTCTCTGATCCTCAAGATTCACATCTGGAAATGAGGTTAGACTAAAAGATATTTCAAATCCCATTTTTAGCTCTGTGTGTTTTCCTGTCAGTGTAGTTTAATGATGGAGGGAAAAGTATACCAGTAATAAGCAGTGGGGGAGAGGGGAGGAATGGTATCTTCACCCACTCCTTTGCTCCCCATTTTCTTATGGTGGTGGTATTGACATGGGAGGTTACTCCTTTACCCTGTGACTACTTACAGTTTAGTATATTTAACCTCATCAATGCATTTTCTTTTGACTCCAGTATTATGAGTTTTCCTCCCTGGCAAGGAAATTGCAGTGTGCAGGGTGATAATCCCACCACCCCAGATCAGAGGGAGGAGGAGGAATGAAAGGACAAGTTGTATTGCCTTCAAACTGCAGTATGCTCAGTGGTGGTGTGAGGTAATTTTATTCCCTTTTGTTGTTAGTACTTTAAACCATCTGGTACATGTTGTAAGGCAAGTGATTAACAAGTCTAAAGCTACGAGTCCATTTGAAAATTGCAGTTTCCATTTGTATCAAAGCCAGCCTCAGCTCCATGAAGTCTGTGTATTCCAGCAAAAATTCATTCCTTCGTATTCTCAATTAGGCAGCATCAACCTGGCTGGTGGGGGAGTGGGAAGAGAGGTGTGTTAATTGAGCTGCTATCTTGCTCTTCTGTGGTGTTTTTAGACTTGCATTAGAAAAGGCCTTAAACCCATAAGGGAACCGTCATAGGTGCGTTTTTGTAGTGTGAATATTTAAATGGATGTTTCAGATGCAGCCTATTTTTGCACCTGATTCCCTGTGGATACCAGCAGTCCAGCATATAAAATATCAAACTATTGTTAATAACCCATGACCGCAAGGCAAGGGGTAGATAATAGCAGAGTCCTGTTTATGAAGAGACAATCACAATCTATATATGCCCATAGAATGCTTTGTTTTAAATGAATTCTTTTCAATAGGATATAGGTCTTAATAATGAAAGCCTAGGGAAGGGAAATAAGTACCATTACTTTATAGTGTTTCTGCATCCACTTAAGCCAACAAAAAACACTCTTCATAACTTAACATGTCACAAATGGCCCATGGTTAATGACATACAGGTATTTTTCATGCTTGTGAAACAAACAGCAAAACACCACAGCTTAATATCTTCCCATTGTACACACCATTCACAGTACATTTATAGCCCAAATAATATTGCACTGGACTTTTGTTTCATTGTTTCTCCGTAAAAAAAACAAACTACATTTTGCAAATAGTCATCACTTCTCAAAATTAACAGGTAAACAATTTGGTCAACTTGCACCAAGACAAAGGTGTGATAAATGTCATAGAGTAAGTAGCTCATTATAACATGAAACCCCAAAGTGAAATATTGTGTGCTGCAAACTTTTATAACAATAGAAAAATTAGTAGGAATTCCTTGATTAATAAAGTAGAAAGACTGAAAAACAAAATCTGAAAATGACCTCCTTTACTATAAGACTGCCTCTATTGTGTGTGTATCATACACTGTGGAAAAAAAGCCATTATTACATTTAAAAATGCAGTCTACTGATCAAAATAATAAAAAGTTTTTTTCCTTTTTTTTTTTTTTAAGAAAAAGAAATAGCACTTGCACGTGGGATCACATTTCTCATTGGGAGGGGGCAGGTACATTTGTACTGCTTTTTAAGGTGCAATCTTGGAGGAAAGGAAATGTCATTTGGCACTCTAAGAACAATATTTTAATACTGGCACAAGCTAAAAAAAAAACAAAACCCAAAACAGCACACCAAGAGAAGGGCCCACAGAATGCCACACAGGACAGGAGGTGGTGGAGTTCTGTTACCACTAGGATGGGGAGTCAACAGCTGAAAAGACTAGATTAAAAACAGTTTTGCTGGGACAGACAAGAGTTGCTGCAAAACCACTCGTTTTAATTTTACTAGGCTTCGTTAATACAGGAGAAAGTAACTTCAGACGTCCTCTAGAAAAGCAGCAAATGCTGGAACAAGAAACGTGGGTGTCCAGCCATCAGTACACGTGAGATTCTTTGTGACTTAAAACACAAGCTCGAGAAGCAGAGGTGGTAGCGCTCCGGATCACCTCCATCCACCTAGATGGGGAAAACAAAAGATTATATTCAAGAAATTTTTTTTAATCAACCCACACAGTCTTAACTATGCTGATGATTTCTGTGAGCAAGTGTCGGTATTGAAGAATAGAAAAGACTGTAGAGGTAATCTACTTTAACCTAGAAGCAAATGTGCTTGACTCAAGATCAGTCACTATATCTGGTGTTAGGAGATGAAGATTCAAGTCACCAACCTTCATCCAAAGGTATCAGTTCCTTTATCTATAAGAGAAATTGGACTAAAGTGTAGGACCTGTAGCTAGAAGGTTCTTAAGAGACCTAGTCTGACCTCTAAGGTCTCTTTCCAGCTCAAAGTCTTTAAGTATGTGTTTTGTTTTGTCTTTTAACCATATCCGGCTACAGTTCAGTAGTTTAAAACCCTGTATTTGCCTCTTATTCAATAATACATCACAAGCTACATGTCACTTCGATAAAGAAGTGATAAGAAGCTGATATTTTAAACTGAATTCAAATAAACTACCTTTTAGTTTTTAATAGCTTCTAGCCATCTGACACTGAAAATCTATGTTTAAGTGAGGAAATCCCAAACTCTTCCTCAGCCTTCATCCTGTTTTTGCCTTTCTTTGTAGACTGATTCATCCTTCTACAAGTAGAAGTGCTAAAAGGAGTTGTCATTCTGGAATTAGTTACTGAAGGAGAAATAAAGGGAACTTTGGGACAAATTTACATCATGGAGTTTGTAATAAGGGAGAGCAAAATCTGATATAGTCTGTTTTGGGGAGGTCAGTTCAAGGAAAGTATATGTATTTTGCAGGTGAATTTTACTCCAAAGGATTGTGACATTTTCAAAATGAAATTCTGAAGAGATGTGATTTTGAATGAAAAAAGGGAAAATTGCCTGAAGAGACCACTCTGTGTACTCTGTTCCAAACACACCAACTGGGATCATAAAGAAATGCATAAGAGATGAAAACAAGGGCATAAAACAGAATGAGAAGGAGTATGTTTGTGTAACAATTGTATCTGGAAACTCCAAAGTGAAGCTGGCAGTCAAGTCGAAGAAAAAAAGGCAAAAGACAGACCAAATAAATGACCATTCACTGCTCAAGGCAGTGAAAATTCACAGCGCAAAGACTGAATCTCTCAGCTCCCATCTTGATTTTCTCTTCCAAGGAAAATAAGTTGAAAACAAAGATAATGGAAGGGATAGATGAAACCTCATGTTCTTGGAGCCAAAAGAGGCTAATCCCATCCTGAAATGTGATTACCAAGCCATTCTCGGTGACCTCTGAAAGATCTTGGAAAACAGCAGAGGTAGCAAAAAATAATGGCTTGATTTTTTTTTATTTTTTATTTTATTTTTTATTAAGGCAATTGGGCTTAAGTGACTTGCCCAGGGTCACACAGCTAGTAAGTGTCAAGTGTTTGGTCTGAGGATGGATTTGAACTCGGGTCCTCCTGACTCCAGGGCCAGTGCTTTATCCACTGTGCCATGATGGCTTGATTTTCCACAAACAACTGGTATATGGAAACCAAAGGCCAGTAAACTTGAATTGGGGCAAAATTCTAAAACAAATGAAAAGGAGGGTGGTTTGTGAGCACCTCAAAAGGGAAGCATAATTTCATAGAACACACGTTCAACTAACTTCATTTCAGTTTCTGCCAGCATGACACAGATACATGCTTTTATGCAAAACATCTCATGCATTCATTTAGATGCTGCTATAACTTAAGAGGATTCAGAACTGACAATGACCATTGCAACGAATGATTCTAAGTGAATGAATGACCACTTGGGAGGGAAGTCTCCCATAGAGTGTATTAGAGTGTTTTGTCCTTGGCCTTGTACTGTTCAGTATTTTTATAAGTGATTTGGATGAATCCCTAAAAGGTGCATGTGTCAGATTTGCAGATATCAAACAGAGAATGCTAATCAGTCTAGATTTCACAAGATCGAACTAGATACGTACAAATAGTATGCTTCTGACAGTGACAATATAAAACTTCACATTTATCATCCTATTTAGTTTCATTAGATTAACTATTAAAGCTTAAAAGGCTATCCTGCATTATGTAATGTTTAAAAATCATTTTCACATGGCAGTTCTGAAGTACTATAAGGTTGATGAGAATGGCAAGATTACCGACTTCGAGGAGAGTGCCCTTCTGATGAATGTGGTGCTGGGGTCTTTATGGCTAGCCATTTTAACAGACATTATTGTGGCAAGTGTTGTCTAACTTACTGCTTCAACAAGCCAGAAGACAAGTAAATGTATATGTGTTAATAAAAAATAGTCAACTAAAAAAAAAAATCATCTTCACAAACAATATCTGGGGGGCTTAGTGGACAACTATCTCAGTTGTTGAGCATGCCGTCCAGAACAAGAAACATGATGGTCCTAATGTGCTGTCATCAGACCACGTTCTGGGTGGTGCATTTTAGGAAGAAAAAATGCTGGTTCTTTCTTTTTCATGGATCTAGGGATCCTCCAAAGGTTCCTTTTGGAGGAATATCTCTATTAGCATTCACCAAATTATATTGAGTGTATCATCTGTAAACCTAAATTCCAAGTGCAAGATTAGACTTCACATACTGGACTGTCACCTAGAGTTTTAGTTTTTTTTTTTTTTTAAACCTTAATTTAGATCAAAGACTTTTCCTATGCTATCAGCAACATTTATATGACACATATATTTATAATGTATGTACTTAAGGCATATATTTCCTTTCACTAGCCATTCAACTTGAGTATTCAAATTTATTTCATATCCTTTGCTTATGAAAACTATTTATGAACAGGTGATCTCTGCTTTCCCTCCCCCATCAATTATCTTTTCTCAGATAGCTTGGGCTGCCTCTAGTTTTCTGGTTATAGTTCACTCTGACAGGAGGAAGAAGGTGATTTTTGTTTTCTTTGCATCAGACCATCATTAGCAAGTGTTCCCCCCCCCCCCCCCTCATTTCCATTCACACAGTTAACTTTGTTTGGCACAAGGAACTACTGCTGGAACTAGATTCCCAGGGAGGCAGAAGGAAAAGAAATGAGAAAGGGAAATTCAACCCTCAGTACCTAGATGAAAGATGGCCCCCCATTCAAATACAGTTTCTTGGCTGCGGTGAGTGTTTAGGTGAAATTAGAATTACTAAAACAATTAGTATCCTACACTAACCTCACCCACATAGAGTTTGTTTTTGCTTCATGCTTGGAAACATCACTTGCTTTCTATAACATGACTTCTCCCACAATGTACCAAATGAAGCATTGATGCCATTACTCACTTAGAGGATTCTTCTTTTGGCTGCTCTAAATGGAACTAAAGTGTGGTCTAGCATTAGACTGATGATTAGATGGGACTGTTCCCATCTGTATCACATGAAGTAATTATTACATGTGAAATGTAGCGCACAGAGCCATGATGAAGACATTCGGTAGGGGTAAGTTATTGTAGCCAAAAGAAGCTCTTAACTCCATCATTGCAGGGAAAGTCTGGCACTTAACAAACAAGGTGCACTCTGCTCAGGTAAGAGGTAAAACAAACAGACAAAAAATCCTACCTTTCAAATGTATATTCGCTTTCAGCCCTGAAGTAATAGACGTGGGACTTGAAGTGTAGTTTGAACACATAGTCTTTGTGAATGTTCTCTGATTCCGAGGGAATGGTGAGTGAATATCCTAATAAAGGCAGACTGGCTAAGGGATGATTATCCTAGAAATAATGAGAACAGGTTTTGAAAGTAGAGGTCAGCTCAACCAGCATCTTGTAAATTGTCTCTAGAGCCTTAGTAACAGAGTTTTCTGATCAGCGCTGGTTAATCCATGGAACCCTTTGATAACTATTCTCTAAGACCCTATTAAGTTGGGGATAACATCTGCAGCTATGTAATTCTGGCCAACTGGTCTACCTGCTCCTACGTACCCACAAAGAGTTTCTGACAATCAGGAGTAATTAAATCATTACTCTTTTCTCCTCCAAGGTGGATAACTATTGCCCCATATCAACTAACTCTCTTCTAAAATGAACAAACCCCACACCAAAGTGGCAGATGCCATTCTCCCTTGGAAAACTTGACCTGTGCACTAACTTCAGATACTGTCCAGAAACTTACATTGAGGAGATAGAACCAGTTTGATCTTTCTTGGTTGCCCCCAGCCCTCTTCCTCTTCTATGACTACGCTTAACAGGAAAATGAGTCTTGGACTAGGGCAAACTGGTGTCCTAGCTGGGCCACGTTTGGGGATGTGCTGCACTTCACGGATGGACATTGGGCCGTGACTTTGGATGGCAGTTTGTGTGTGTTTAAACCTGGACAAAAGTATCCCTTAGACTAGAGTCAGCAAACATGGCCCACAACACACCGCAGTACAGGCCAAACTAGATTAAAATGGAATTGGAAAATATTTAAAATAAAAAATTCAATGCAGCATAGACAATGCTACATTCTAAAGCTAAGTCAATATGCATTCTGCTTCAGTTTAACATCACTGTTAGACCACCTTTGATGTAAACTTTAAATTGATGTCATCTGTATCTAAGTATTTTTTTTATAAGTGAAACCTGATTTTTTTTTTCACCCTTGGGACCTAGCTGAGTGAAGAATAAAAATCACATTTAAGGTGTGCAAAGCACTTTATAAATATTTCATTCTTTTATCCTTACAATAACCCTGGGAGGTAGGTGTTATTATTACCCCCATTTCACAGATGAAGAAACTATGACAGATTAAGTGACTTGTCCAGGGTCATACAGTCCTTAAGTGTCAGAGGCTTGATTTGAGCTCAAATCTTCCTGACTCCAGGCCCAGTCCCCTACCTACTGTATCATCTAGCTGCCTAAGAAAGGCCCCAGGTTATTCTATAAAATTCTATGACATAAATTTCCTATTACCTGGCCCTAAATTAGCCCCACATTTCCTCCCTGAGTGTCTTCCGGGGAGAACACCTAAGTGGAATCCATGTTCAAAAGCTTCATTCTAACAGCAAAAATGTTGCCTTACCTTTCTAATGGAAGTGAAAATGCCAAGCTGAGCCATTTACATGCCTCAGAGGCCTTCTCCTGAGTAACATCCCAAGATTGATAGCATAGGCATTAAGTGCTGTGTGCTCAGTCACTGATCCTGTCACTGGGCCTTGGACATCAAATGTGCTTTCAATGGTGCTGTCTTAGAACAAAACTTGGGAGCCTAAATGTTAACCTGAGGCTTTCTCAGTTGGTGATGTCGCTTGTATTAAACTGGCCTAACGCCAAACTACGTTATGGTACAGAGGGACAAGGGGAGAGAAGCACTGTCTGGGAATACAATCTAGGAGTCTGCATATGCTTGCCTAGGACCATGCCTGTCTGCCTCTGGACCAAAGGAGAGCCAGTTTCCACCCATCTGAAATAACCAGTACTGCGCTCCACAGTATGAGAGACCCCACTTTGTATCTTAGTCCCTCACTGTGTGCACAGGTACATAGAATATCTTGGAGAATGGGTTACTGCCTGTCCTTGGTGGGGAAAAAAGCAAACACACCCCCAGAGGGTCACTGCTCCATTAATTCAAAATATAACTCCCGTAGTTACTATTCCCATTGTCATAGTTTGACTTCATTGTGCTTTTTAAATTAGCTGTTAGAAGCATCTACATTTTGTCTCATTTACAAATCTTTATGCACAGCCCTGATTTACTGGTGTGAGTTAATTCACCATTTTTCCAACAAGGCTTCCTGGAATGCTAGCTTCAAGATTCAGTGTGGAAGCCATATTTAGAGGGAAAAAGCCATGAGGCAAGTTTTCTCAAGTCTGTGAGAGCTGCACAAAGTAGCTCATGACCAGGTCTATGGAAGGTTGGACTGAATTCTGTCCCATGACTACAGGCATAGATGTTCAGACCCCATAACTCCCAGATCTCTGTGCACTTTCTTGATTTGATCCCATTGTAGAAATAAGCTTTTCAAGCCACACAAGGTATTTACCTGGTGTGATTTGTAGAAGAACAGGCAGAAGTTGGTAAATACCACCCAGAGCTTCTGCCATCCATTGCTGTTTTTAAATTTCCTCAACAGGTTCCCAGATAACTGATTCTGAAATGGAGAAGAACAAGAAGGTGTGAGCATACATATATTCTCTCACACACACACACTCACACACACACACACACAGAGAAAATTGAGAACTCCTGTCTAGAAAGAAGCAAAACCCCATGTGAAAGGAAATTTCATAGCGCTCTCTCCCCCCCAGTTTTCAGTTACAAAGGCACAACACCTCCACAAAGGGCCCACCAGCCTTTCCTGATGATATGTATTTCTAGAAAAATTAATTTTCCTCTAAATGAAGACTGCCTATAACGTAAGGGAAAAAAAAAATGATCTGCTGTTGTTCTTTAAATGCAGAAATCCTTGTGGTATTAGATAAGCTTAGTATGATTAATTCTTCTTCAATCATCCCTCAACAAGCTTGGAACTTTTTCTTCAAGCCCACCGTAAGCATTTTGCATTTCTCATTAAGGGACTGGGCAGTAGGAGCTGATGGCCCAGTCGTAAGTAAAGGTTAAACAGCTATTTACTGCCATCTAGTGTACTGCAGCAAGAGCAAAGCCATTTACTGTGGCTGTGCCCAGAGGACAGCCGAGCTGCCTGTTGCTCCTAAACTTTGCTAGGGGCTTCCCAGTTCTGGATAGGAATGGGGAAAAAGAAGGGAGGATAAAGACACTGCTCATTTGGTAAAGAATAAAAGAGATCCTGCCCTTGCTTTTTAAAGTTACTGGAGATGAGGGTTTGAAGTTTCCTTCCTTTCCCCCTGGAAAATCTCAGAGCAGTAGAGATTAAGCTCCTGCCCTCCTTTACAAGGGAGGGCACCTTCCTAAGGCCTCTTTGTTTAGGTGCCTAGTTTTCTTGTTTTCAGACAAAGAAAGTGCTCCTGAGGAATGGTCATTTCAGTGTGGGAGACTACCCCTCTGGCCCAAGGGCAAAGATTTGTGGGTTTATTTTGGGAGCTGCAATGACTATCAGCAAAAATTAAAAACATCCTCCTAAGGTTCAGAGTGGAAGCTACAGGAAGAAAGTTTAAATTCTGCCTAAACCAGGAAATGATCCTCAGCATGGGGTTTCCACACCTGAGAAGAGAGCTAGTCAAACGGGCAGCCTTGGAAAATGGGCTGCCCTTTTGGGTCCTTTGTTCCTGTGCAGGGGCTGATGAAAGCAAATACACATAATTGGCTCTGTGTTTCCCACAATTCGAATTAAGAAGATAGAGTAACACTTTATCATTTTTTACCTAACAATGACACAGCATTGTCCCATGTCACTTACGGGTAACCAGTGTGGTTGAAAAGCAATGGGTATCCCCCATCAAACCCTCCTCCCCAAATTGGCCATGAAAGGATGAAGTAGAAAATACCTGGTAACTTGTTTAAAGAGAATTAAGATGAGGTGGCTCTTTCATGTTACCTAGAAAAAAAGATTTTGATAGATACAGCAGAGAGGAAAGAGCACTGACCCTGGAATTGAGAGGACTAGATTTCAAATACTGCCTCTGATGCTTAACATCAGTTTGATCTGGACAGCCTAACTTCCCCTGGCCTTGGCTTTTTGATCTATAAAATGAAAAAACTGAACTGGGTGGCCTCTGAGATCTAGAACTGGAATTCTTAACTTTTTGTGTGTCATGTAATAATAACAAATGATAGCTATTCTATAGCTCTTTTAAGATTTGCAAAGCATTTAACATGTGTTACCTTGATCCTCACAGCAACTTTGTGAGGTAGCTGCTATTATGATCTCCATTTTACAAACAAGGAAACTGAGGCTGAGAAAGGTTAAGTGACTTGCCCAAAGATCACACAGCTATTAAATATTTGAGGCAACATTCAGACTCAGGTCTCCTGACTTCAAGTCTACTGTGCTCTATCTATTCTTTTGGCATTCTGTTGGAGCCTATGGACCCTCATCAGAATACCATCTTTAAATAAATGCTACATTTCAGTCAGAGATTACTGAAAATAAAGATGTAATTTTTTTCCCCACCCAAATTCATGGACCCCCTGAAATCTTTCCACTGACCCCTTTAGAGTACAGATTAAGAGCTATGATCCTATAGAATTTAAGGTTAAATATCAAATAACAGCATATAGCAGAGACTCACTGTATTACTGAACTATTAGGGGAGGGTCATACGATGGGTTTCACCATTTATAGGTGATTCTTCTGGAAGATGAGGTGCTTTGGGTAATTCAAGAGTAAAGCTACTTTAGTTTAAGAGACAGATACAAGCCTTATATCAAATTCACTTTAAAACAAGCGTGTAATAGGAAGTTCCCATTGTGACGTAACACGAACTAATACAGAATATAACTTAGATTAGCCAGAATGTTCATAGTAGTTAACCAGAAAACCTATAGTTTGTCCATTCACCATCCTAATGGAATGTCTACTGGTCAGTAGACCCAGTGACCTTTTTTTTAGCCATTCTCTTCGACTTTCTCCAGCACTTCATATGATGAAACATTGTTCTTCATTTGCGACGTTTAGTCTTTGTTGGTTTTAGTGACACTGCACTAGGGGACTCCTGGTTTTCTGACGACACATCTGACTCCTTTGCCAGCTAGTTTCTATTTTATCCTCTTGCTTGCAAATGTGTTTGCATGCAAAGACTCAGTGCTTGCCTCTTTTGTTATTCTCTCTGTACAATCTTTCCTTTGGAAGATCATCCACTCTAATGGCTTTTCCCATCTTTATTCCTGACCTCTTTCTAATCAATGATCCTGTATTTTCAATTGCCTACTGGATGGTCCTACCTGAATATCATACCTCACAAGTCTAAAACTGAGCCCATAATCTTCCCCTCAAAACTAGTCTTTCTCTTAATTTCCTTTTCCTAATCATCATTTGATGTCTTTGATTCCTCCCTCCTCCCTTGCTCGCCATATCCAATAAGTCATCAAGTCTTGATCAATCTCTTGCTTCCATCTTTTCCTTTCCATTTCCACTGCCACGACCTATATCAAGGCCACTTTTAATTTGTGACAAGACTAATATATAATATCCTAACTGGTCTCCCTGCTGCTACTCTTTTTCTAATCCATCCTGTACATTACAGTCATATTTAATCCTTAGCTTTCATCATGTCAACTCTACCCTCTTCAAAGATACTCTAATGTCATGAGTCCAAAATCCTTAGTCTGACATCTAAGGTCCACAATAACCTAGGCTCTACCAAACTTTCCAACTTTAAAGACCCTCAATTCTATTGTAACTGTTTTCACTACCCTTCTGAATATGTCTTATGTATTCCCTTTGTTTGTACTATTATTCCATCTGTAATGCCTAGAATAAATACCTTGCATGTTTGTGGATGAAGACAAAGCTACATGAGAAAAATGGGCCTTTCACAGAAAATGTTGCCTGGAATCAAGAGTCGTGAGTATGTAACAAAACAGAAACACTCTAGCAGTCATTTATGAATCCTTTTTTTCAGTACTTCCTGACTGGCTAAGGACATCTTCATCAAGAGATTTCTAAAATGCCTTAGAGCCACTTAAATAATTCATGACCATAATTGTACAAAATCACCTCTACCATCTAGTGAAGGAGAGCTGTGCCCAATAGGACTTGTTATTTAAATGGAATTGGGCTTGAAGCACCACAGGGTGTATCTCAGGATGCCACTTTACTCTGATCAAAGGACCTGTACTAGCTTTAGGACTCATCCCCCTGACCCCATTGGATCTGAGTTCATAAAGATTCCTTCAAATTCTAGCGTCACAAGCCAGCTTCTAGCATTCAAAAACTGCAAAGGTATGAGCAAGTCCCTTCCCCAAAACATTCCCCTTCCTAGAGTTTAGCCAGATAGGTTTTTCAAATTTTGATTCATTTTTAAAAAAGAAGACAACTATCCATTTCCCTTCTCCTCACTATACATAAGCAGACCCTTTTTTCCTTTGTGGTTACCTCACTCATCTGGAAGATTTCACAGAACGGCACTTTGTAGAGGTGTGAAATGGAAATGGTTTGCTGACCACTGATCAACTCAACAATCCATGAAGGACAAACTCGCAAAGGGGTGGAAAATTGTGGAAAGGGGAGGGATGGCAAGAAGGAAGAAAAGACACAGAGACAAGAATAAACCCTAATGCCCACAAGAAAGTCACACCAAGAAAAGGATGAAAATGAAAGGGTGGCTCTCAGGTATAAGGGCATTGCTGCTAAACTGTGGGGAACCAGATCCACTTCTCTTGGGTTAAAGGAACAATAGTTTGTAAACTGCTTTGGCAAACAACTCTGACATAAGAGTGAATAGTGTTTACCTCTAAGGGAGGAAAAATAAAACCACCCACAAGAGTTTTATTAAGCAAACACTTGGGCAAGTTTTTAAGACTGTGGGTGTTAAAACCTAACTGGAAAGACTATGTTCAAATCACCTCTTGAATGGAAATCTACTCATATTTTAGTAGCCACTTTTCCAAGATCAGTGTCACAGCATATGACAAAAAGTCAAGCTTGCCTGCTTCTCTGCAACCCTCAGCGTAGGCCAGGAGTTACAAAAGCAATCAACCTCATCAGATTTTCATTTTAAGACAAAATGGTTTATACATCTTCCAGTTCCTGTATCCATTTGTGCATAAGGGATAAAATGAATTAGGCAAACTGCTCTGTGAGCATCATACATGCTAACTAAAACAATCAAAAGGCATTCTATAGGATAAGTGGTACTCCCTGCCCCCCCAATACACCTTAGATACCACTTTCTAGGTATCTGTTTATATTATATACAACGGGGTTAAATGGAATTAATAAAGTAGTAGAAGTATGCGAAATCTGGGTTCAAGTTGGGCCTCTGACACATAATAGGTGTGTGACCCTGGGCCAGAAATCACCACCTCTCAATGGTCTAAGCAACTGTCTAAGACTATAAATTGCCAGGGGAGGAGCCAACCTGTAATGGTACAGGGAGTTTGCTGACCTGAGAGTTCCCTTTACCAATAAATAAATGATGTTTATTTAACAATAAATAATAATATATAATAAATCATAATAAAAGGGTCCAGTCCCTATGCTTCTGAGGCATTGGGCAATATAACAGTTTTCCTTTTCCCCCTACCAAGACTAGGTCTGGAGATAATTCTACTTCCTTCTAAAGAGTTTGTTAATGCAGGAGTTCCCAGCCTAAGGGCTGAGGATCCCCTGAGGGGGCAATGAAGCCATTCCCAATAGCAATGCTATTTGTGGGTCCTCCGATCCAAATAAGCACAAAGTAGGATGGTTTTGACCACTCTGTTGGCAGAGATAACTGGAGTGGTTTGCCAGTTCCTTCTCTAGTTCATTTTTACAGCTGAGAAAACGGAGGCAAACGGGGTTAAATGAGACTTGCCCAGGGTCACGCAGCAAGTAAGTGTCTGAGGCAGGCATTGAATTCAGGGAGATGAGTCTTCTTGACTCTAGGCCTGGCATTTTATCTACTGTGCCATCTAGTTGCTGTATCATTCTTTAGCTCTAATAAATTACGCAGGGCAATATAGGCAAAACTTTCTTCATAACACTCTCTCATATATGTTTCAATATATTTCAAATGTATGTAGATCATGCTAAAATTAATGAATCCATTTAAAAGCATTGCTGAAAAGTAATTTTCTGTCATGTACTGTCTCTATAAGCAAATATTAGTAGCACAGCTCTCATTTGGGGGTCTGTCAACTGCTGCAATATTAAAAGTAGATCTTCATACTTGGAAAGGGTAAGAACGGTTACCCCGAGGCAGCCTTCTGGTCAAAGGTATCTTACTGTATTGCCTATTGCTGTCATTTTGAGGAAAAATAAGTGGATCTTTAAAAAAAGATTGCACTTTAAAATAAAGTATTGCACTACCATCTCCATATTTAAATGAAGACCATCATGAAAGGCACCAGACGCCTAAAAGAAAGCTTTCTTAGTATTTCAAATGCCTTTCCTCAAATATTTCACTCCTAGTGAGCCAGCAACCCACCCACCCCAACCATTCTTGATTCTGAACACCTGCTGTGAAATTGGTTTAGCCTGTGGCCAAAATTTTAGTTGCACCATTTAAGGAATAAAATGACAGGATACAAATCACATGTAAAGAAAAGGCCATAACGGATTGAATACACAAAGAGACATCTTTAAAAAAAAAAAAGGAAAAGTGATTACTGGTATAGAACGAAGAATTAAGATCAAGAGACAGGTCTGCACCTATCAAGCCCAGCAACGATATCCTTTTGGCTTTTCCCAGGTATGAGGGAATGTATACTAGCTGCTCAGTAATACAAAAATTTCATATGAGATTTTGTTTGGTTGTGGTCAGTTCAGATTCATTCTTCCCCATTCTACCAACCCTAGGGTTTAGATAAAAATAGATGAAGACTCCACAAGTACAGATAATATTGCAATAGCCCATCAGGTCCCAACGGGGAAACTCTAATTTTCCAGGCTTGCCACTATTACTCAAAATGGCAGAGCACAGCTGGACCCCTAATAGTAGTGGTGGGAAATATGTTTCAACTTGGCAAAAAAGCTCAAGATAGGCTGGCCTTAGACCAAAGGAAGTACTGTTTCTGGGAGGTAGTGACTAGTTGGATGGCCAGGGAGATACCTCCACAGCAATGCTAAAGTCGATCATGGAGACGCTAGTATTTCGGTGCCAGCAGACATGAACCATCGTGTTGCCCCGGTGGGGAGACTGTCGCTCGAGGGAGGTGCGGGAGGCACTGAGGTCATCCTCTGATTCTTGGTCTGCTGTGGCATCATCAGGGGACTCTGTGGAATGCAGGTAAAAAAGCATCTCTTCTTGCAAACATACACAATTTTTTCTTGTTATCATTACCAAGACTTCTAAAATAGATTGGAGCTCACTGAGGCTTAGCTCTCTGGAGGTATCTTGTCAACCTACAGTATGATACGCTTCCAAATGTCTGAAACAGTATAAATTGTCATTATCAGAACCAGAAACATTCGATTATTTTCCATGAGTTATCTTTCTTTTTTTGCTTTGAAGGAAACTGACTCCATTTACACCTGGGGCTTGTGGTGCTCCCTCTGGCTTTTGGGTTTTCTTGTTTCCTTCCCCTAGTAGGTGGCAGAGAGGATGGGTTTAAAGTTGGAGGGGGGTTCTTAGAAACCATCTTGTACCACCCCTTCATTTTACAAAGGAGGCAGTCAAGGCCCATAGAGGTTGATGACTTGCTTAGGGGAGCACATACGGGCAATAGGTAGCAGAGTTGGAATTTGAATTCATGTCTTCCGATTCATTGATCCAGTGCTCTTTCTACCCCACTGCCCCATTATATAAGTAGTAAGGTTATAACTAAGCTTATCCCAAAAGAAGAGATGAGAATGCACCATCTCCCCCCCCACCCTTTCTAAACAGAAGTGATGGAGAAGTGAAGAGGTGCCATGTGACCTGCATGTGACCTGAAATACTTCTAAGTGCAGCACAAATCAGCACAGGGATCCTTATGTGCAATTTAGTGGTCTCCATTACTATTTGAGTTGCACACCATTGATATATAGGGAATATGGCATATAATATCAAGCTTGGTTGATGGTTATGTTAGTTTTTCTGAAATTATTCTTTGTTAATAAATAATAGCTCTATTAGGGTTATGTATATGTTGAGAAATTAAGGCAATGTAGAAACAAAAGACAGCAATAAAAAATTCTAAATCATTTTATAGTCTTCTCCCCCTACAAATCCATTCTTCCCCTCTTTACAATTCCAATGAGTTGAGTGTTAGGATACCTGATTTCCCAACATGCATATTAAAGTATATCACAGGCATAAAGGATGGCTAGAAATAGGTTTTTTAAAAAATAGTAATCTTCCTTAATATCACAATTATTTTCCCTTAATTAATCTTGGGTCAGGGGTTGATAGAGAACATTGGGTAAAGTTTGCATCTTACCACCATACTTACTATTTTCAGGTGGACTACTTGCTAGTAATTCAGGGATGGGGCCACTGCTTTTTTCTGCTAGATCAATTGCCATCTGTATGTCCTCAATCCACTTTTCCATCTCAATCCGAGAACTGGAGATAGAAATTTACATTTCATTTTCAGACCCAAAGCAGATGACAGAAAAAACAAACGTTAAGAGGCTACTTCACTGAATTACCTTGCTGCAACAATAATGGACTGATGTTGACCACAAAGTGTAAGACAATGAGGAACACCCCACTCTTCTTCACTTTCTTCTATCTATAAGATACAAGTTTACAGTATACTGTTACTAGACAGAGAAAATTGCTGAGGAAGGACGTAAAGGTCAATTTCTTTCTAAACAATAACTAAATATGTCATTCAAGCCATCCCCTGAATTCAAAAGAGTGCAAATACAGAAGTCTCAGAATATTCTCACGGACATTTGGGCTAGACATTAGTATGGTTTGTGGATTTAAAAACTGTGTTGAATGACTGAGCCCAAAGAGTGAAAGGGTTAATGTCATTTTAGAGGGAAGTTTTTAGTAGAAGACCCCAAGAATCTTTTATCTTTTTTATCAATGACTCAGATGAAGGTATAGATGGCAGGCTTATCAAGTTTGAAGATAATAAGTTAGGAAGAAAAGCTAACATGTTGGATGACTGAGTCAGGAACCAAAAATCTCTCAAATGACTAGAAAAATGGACTGAATCCAGTATGATGGAAATGAGTTGGAGATAAATGCAAAGTCTTGGTTCAGTGATCATTGGGTGAATTGGTCTAGCCATTTTGGAAAGCAAATTGGAACTATGTCACAAAAGTCCCTGAAATATGCATACCTCGCCCTAAAAAGGTCAGAGCAACAAGAAAAAAGACCTATATGTGCAACATTGATAGTAGCTATTTTTTCTAATAGCAAAGAATGGGAAACCAAGGGAGTGCCCATCTACTGAAAAACAGCTAAACTGATTTTGCATATGAATGTAAAGGAATTTCTTGTGCCATAAGAAACCATGGAAAAAACCCACAAGAAAAAACAAAAAACCAAAAACCAACTCAACTTTGGAAGACTTGAGATCTCCAATTTATACAATGGATAACCATGATTCTAGGGAACTAAGAATGAAGAATTCTTGCCACTTCTTGATACAAAGGAAATGGACTCAAGATGCTTTAAGATATATATTGTGGACTCAACTAATGTGGGAATTTGATTCCCTTGATTATACACATTTGTTGCAAGGGCTTTTTTTCCTTTGTCTCTTTTCTAATGAGAGGGTGGGTGGGAGCAAGAAGGGGGATAGGGAAGCCAAAAAAAGGGGATCACTGAAGCATCTTTTTAGAAAATTGAACAGCAAATAGTCAAATTAAGGCCAGAAAAAAATACAGACAAGTAGGACAGTTATAGTTTGAAAATTATAGTTTGATCTATTAGCTTAAAAAGAAAATTGAAGTATACATTATAAAGATCATCAATTTCATCTACAACCCTCATTTTCTATATAGCTATGGATAGCTATGAAATCCATTTTATTTGATGTTAAGTTCAGAATAAAAAGCAATACTTTTTTTTCCAAAAGAAGAAAAACAATAAGATTTAGATGTAAAGATGTAAAGAAAAAATATTAACATTTAGAGCTGTCCATGAGTGGAATGGGCTGCCTCAGGAGGATCCCCTTCACAAGAGGTCTTCCAGGAGAAATTTAAATGAATACCTATGTGGAATGCTGTAGAGTACACTACTGTTCAGGTATGATGTGGACAGAACAGCTTTTAGGTTCCTTTGAACTGTGAGAGTTTGTGATCCTATAACTTTATGTTGGGAATCCCAAGGACAAAGAATGAACATTGAAAACCAGAATAATGAAATGGATAAGGCGAAAGGATCATCGCATAGGTAATTCCTCTCCCTTCAGTCTGAGACTTTAAATAAATATACTTGGAACAACCACAGCTATTATACAAATACACACAAAAGCTTAACTCTTCCATTCATGCATAGACATAGCAAAAGAAGTAGTTTTTCACCACACAGAAAACTGTAACATTTCTGCTAAATTTGGGAGAGTCAACCACGAACACAACAGTGTCAATGTACATATCAGGGCTGTGCCAACAATCAATTCAACCAACACTAAGCACTTTGCTCAGGTAATATGGAAATGAAGATGGAGAACAATGCAGTGCCTTGACTTCACAGAACCTACAATGTTCTTTTGCTTGCTCACAAATAAATATAATAAAAAGTAGACTATAATATGGGCAAAGAACCAGACAAAATGCTAGAAGAATATCTGAGAAGGGACCGATCATTTCTAGCTGAAAGAAAAAGTAGTGTTGAGGGAAGATGTGTGAGGCAAGGAGCAACTCATTAAATGGTCTTAATCAGCATGCTTTTTGGATTAATACTGGGAAGAGACTTGAGGAGTGGGGAAAAGCTAATTCCAGCTCACTAAGCAAGATCTTATCAAGAAGGTCTAAACCTGGGGACTGTGAGCTTGTTTTTTAAATAGTGTGATAACTATATTTCCATTCAATTGGATTCCTTTGTAATCCTATGCATTTTAAAAACAGTATTCTGAGAAGGGATTCAGAGGTTTCATTGGACTGCTCAAGGCACCTATGACACAAAAAAGTTTAAGAAAGCCTGATCTAATCAGTCGATAGAGCATCTAAAGATGGCATTGCTTTCAGGGTCAGTTGAAGGAACTGCATAAGTAATTATGTAGAAGAAATGTTAAAAGAACCAGAAAAGGCAAATTCCTCTGATAAAAAGACATAGGATGTGAAGATGTGGTTGGGCTACGACCTGTAATGGTTGAAGTAGTACCCACACAGATGAAATCACAGGTCCCTTGTAGTCTTTATTTATTTTTTTTCAGGCAATTGGGGTTAAGTGATTTGCCCAGGGTCATACAGCTAGTAAGTGTCAAGTGTTTGGTCTGAGGCCATATTTGAACTCAGGTCCTCCTGACTTCAGAGCCGGTACTCTATCCACTGCACTACCTAGTTGCCCCTGTCCCTTGCAGTCTTGAGGAGATGAATAAAACCATACTTCCAATTTCCCAACATTTACTCTGGGGTTGAGCAAGCTGAGCCATCATTACCTTCCTTTCTCACCAGGCCCCCAAGAACTCATTTCTATTCTTAGGTCCATCAGAGTAGAGCAAGTTTCCCCAGTGTCAGTCTCGAGGAGAACTGAAAGGCAAGCATTCTTTACACCTACCCATTTGTTAGAAGAAAGGGAGGAAAATGGAGAGAATTTGGAAAACCATCTGTCTTTTGGTCAAGGCAAGGGTTCTAATATAAAGAAGGTCTCCGTGACACACTTACAAACTTTCCAAAGTTTTTGCCCACAAATGTCAACAACCTATGCTTCTTTCTACCCTGACCTACAGTCCATCAGCTACTATAAGCAAAAGGCCCCCAGGTCTGATAGCATTCTGCTAACCCACTGCATACTCACTGTCATGCCATAGAGTGGGAGTTGTCCATGAACTTTGAACTGATTGGTGGCAGTCAGTCCTCTACTTGTATACAGCAAGACATCATTAAACTAGGAAGGTAAGGAGGATCATTTAAAACTGAAGTGATTCTATTTTAAGAGACCAATAATAATAAATAAACCCAAATAAAGAATCCTAATAACAATAAACCCCAAAGTAAGGTAAAGCAGCTCTCTAAAGCTATAAGGTATATGAGTTGACAGTCTTCATTGATGAAGGGAGTTTCCACCCTGGAAAGAAGACACTATGATCCCTAAATCAAAAAGCAGTCCAGGTTTATAAATGGATACATATCATTTCATTAACTTGTAGGCCTTGAGCCTAAGTTATCACTACCTTTTTGCTTCCCAGTTCCCACTTATATGACCCAAGTCAATGCTACTTCATTCCTTGGTACTAGGTTTCATTTAAATATACAGTAAGTGCAAAATAGCCATCCTTACTTACCAAGAAAAACATACGCTGCTGTAGCCCTTTTCCGGACAGCTTACTGAGGCTGCCCAGGCGAATGAATTCCTGCGAAAGAAGCAAGCCATGAGTGCCTCCTGATAGATTCTCAAGTTGAGTTAATGCCAAGGTCCTTGACTTGGAGAGAACACTGCCCTTTATTCCCAGCTAGAATGTTCAGAAAGGATCTGAACCATGGTGCAAACTTCAGTGCTCTTCATGAAGAGGGATGTTACAGAAAGGAGGACAAACAGCAGGATGAGACATCCCGTGTGCCTCCGAGAGGAATCTAGCTACCCACGAGACTGCTTACGGCAATTTGTATTCTATCCTGCCTCATAAAAGGAATTTTATTCATTTTTCTCCAATCAGAAATTTAACACTCTCAACAAATAATCAAATAATTAAGCCAAATAAAGCAATAAGCTTTGGAGAAAGAAACAGCAAACCACTCCAGAACTCTGCCAAGAAAACCCCAAAAAGGGTCACAGAGAGTCGGACATGACCGGAACAACTTGATTCACATGCAGAATTTAGGAAAAATCGTACGAGATAATAGGGTCTGAGGATGGAAGAGACATCTAGTCCAAAGTCCTCAACGTCCATATGAAAATACTGAGGTCGAGAGAGAATTACTGACTTGTCAAGGTTTCTACCAGTAGTAACAGCAGTAAAATTTGTAATAGTAATTCCATAATCTCTATACCGTGTCATGCAGATTCTCCGATTTCAATAAGAAAAATACTAATATTCTGGAAGTTATTCTATGTCCAGTTTTGCATCTGTTTATTGATAGGTGTTTACAAGGCAATACAAAGAACAAAGTCTTGTTATTTTAACAAAGTTGTAGTTGGCGTATGTGCTATCTTATTCTGCTGACTTCTCATTTCTTATCCACATCACACTGTTGCCTATCTAAGCAGGGTTCTCTAATGCAGTAGACCTGCAGGTCCTATAAAATAAAACTGCATGTTAGACAAATCGGCAAAGAACGAGTTGTCCTATTGCTTTTTCAGACTGTAAGTTCCTCAAGGGAAGGTGCCATGTTTTATCCACAATACCCTCACAATCCCTAGTATAGTGTTGTGTACCTAATACGTGTATTAGTAAGTATTGTACACCTAATACATGTCCAATAAACAATTGATTCTTCAGACTCAACATATCCTTGCACAAACTATTCCAACTTTCTTGGACTTAAGTGTGCTTTTAGGAAAGATGAATTTCATTACTATATTGATCCAAATAGGTAATGTGGAACAAAGGAGAGAAGGCCAGTCTTGGAGTCAGGAAGACCTGCGTTTAAGTTCTGCCTTTGGCACGTAACAGCTGTATCACCTAAATATATCATTTAATGTTCTCAGTGCTGTAAGCAACTCTCTAAGAGTATAAAATATATGAGTTGACAATCTGCATTGATGAAGGCAGTTTCCACACAGAAATTTCCACATACCAATGAAATAATAGGTCTTCCCCCCCCCAACAAATACTTATCTGAATATAGTCTTCTACCCGGAATATAGGTCATAAACCTAAAATAAGATCTCTCAGAAAAGGAAACAAATATTTTCAGTTTATACCCATCTAGTGCCCACATTCCAAGCCAGATTTAGGGTCAAAAGTGACCTATACTCAAACTAATATGGTTCCAAATGTTTTTTATTTGAACAACCAACAAAATTAACAAAACTTCTTCTCTGTGCAATGTAAAATATAAAGAGTAAAAAGACCCTCTCCAAAGATCTTTCAATCTGGTAGGAAAAATAAACCATACAAAAATACCTATCATACAAACTAGGACATGACAAGTGCCTAAGAGAGGTGTGTCATGCAGGCTATAAAAGTTCAGGGGCAGAAGAGAGATTGCCTCTAGCTGGGAAGCAATTTATCAATTGAAGTGGTATATTTTGAAGATCAGTAAAATAACATTTGGGAAACACTTGAATATCCTTGCATGAAGGACACAAGAAGACCATGACATATCCCTGTTGTTATTTGAGGAAATGATGTTAGAACTGAGTTTCGATGACAGAGAAATAGCTAACCATCTATTGAAACGGGGATACATTTCCAGCACATGTTTCTAACAGAACCAAACGTGGAAAGATAGGAGTGTTGCTTTTAACACTGTAAACAATTAAAGAAAGAAAAAGTAGAAGGCATTTTTCCCCAGCCCCTGGAGCCTACAGATAAGTGAGAACAAAGTTCGATCTTATGGAGACAGAGATGGGAGATAATACTTATTATAGCAAACCAATTCAAAGGGGGGGGGGAAGGTTTCATACTACAAAGCATCAAACAGGAATATACTAAATGCATTAACTAGGAGCCAAAGAAGTCCATCCTATTGTGTCAGGTTGTTTCACCAGCTATTAAGTTTCTTTTGTGTTATCTGTGGGCTATTTACAGCCATACCGCCTTCAACAAAAGTCTCTGTCAAGACACTGTTAACCATAGAAAGGGGAAGGAAACAGATGCACAGCATCTTTACACTTGGGTTCCTTCTCTCTAGAGTGCCAAGACTTAGAAGTCAAAATAATAAATAGTTCACTACACCAGGTTCTCCTTTCCAGTTTCTGCCTCCTTTTTCTTCTTTGGGAAAAAGAGGGAAGAGGCAGGCAGGAGAACCACCTTTCTCTTGAACCAGAAATTCAGTCTGGGAGGAAACTAGCTACCAATTCCACTTTATGTTCGTGATGCATTAACACATGTTGAGCTTCTGGCTATAGTTCTGAGCTACCATGTACTAAGAAAGGTCTGTCTGCCAGGCATGAATACTGTCCCAATCTGAATCCTACTGAGCAGTGGGTACAAACAATGTCCCCATAGGGGACATATGGCACAGTTGTGCTACAAATCATTTTAGGAAATAGATTATAAATGGAAAAATAGGTTGGCATGACTGTGAGCAGTTTTAAGACTTTTTCTACCCTCGAATAACAAATTTTCAAATTCTGTTTATAAACTAACTTATCAGAGCCCTTCTGCCCCACATCAGTCCCTTCAAATCATTTTTAAATGGTTCATTCAATCTTGCAGAATTAAAGTCACTCATTAGAGAATCTTCCTGATGACTAATAGGCACAAATGTTTCATTCTCTTCAGATAGGAGTTCAGACCATGAATGAGTCATGTCAATTGGATAAATAAGAAAACACAGTGATAAGGCGATTCTGCAATTCTAACCTAGGGCTTTGATTTTTATTCAGATTTCCAACTAACTATAGGGAAGACCCAACAAAATTATAGCCATATACTCACATGGCTAAAAAAAAAAATACCTTTCCAATTATACATGTTGGAATATCAAAGAAAATTTGTTTATAATAATTTCCCATGGAAAACTTGTTAGTCACTTTCTTTAATATACAAATTTATCCAGAGAAATTGAGTTCTCAAGATGATTACAGGCTACTTCACAAGTAGTTTCCCTAGGATCCACATGAAACAAATATGACACTAAATGCTTAAAGGATTAAGTAGTTTCTACTCCTGCATGGCAGAGACAAATACTAACTTTAATTTCCACCCACCTCTTTCCATATATAACTATTCCAACATGCTTCCAACTGAAAGGAACTGTTTTGTGATTTTGATGTCTGAAATACCCAGGCTTCCTGAAACCAAAGATTCCAACCTTGGAAGATCAATTGATCTTTCCTGTATTAGATAAATTAAGGCTTCCAGTGTACCTCTCTCATACAAGACCACAGCATTGCACAAAAAAGGTAGATTTATATCCATGGAGTTAACATGTAGGGATCAGGAAATTGGTGATCCCATAATAATTCTCAACATCCAATCAATCCTGTATAAACAGTTGTGTTTATAACTATTGTCGTTTACAACGCCCTTTAAAGTGTGCAAAGGACTTGACAATACACATAATCTAATCTGATCCTTACAATAACTCTGTGCTGTTATATTATCCCCATTTTATAGATGTGGAAACTCAAAGTTTCAGTATGATGACCCGCCACAGGTCACAGCACTAATGTTGCAAGTCTGACTTTAAGCCAGGTTTTCTGGATCCATTCTGAAACACTATCTCTCTCTGCATCTCTTTATGACGCTTAAGGTACTATTTTGAAAAGTTTGGCACAGTGTCGTAATAGCTCCTATAGGAGGACTGTATTCTAAAAAGCAAGTTTAAAAAAAAAAAGGCTATATAATAGGTTTGCGATTTCCCCTTTAAGTTGGTAATTCTCTTTGCCTTGGAGTGAATGCATCTCTATAACAGGCTTTTCTTCATTCAAAGATGTCAACATGTAGCTCTGGGCTGCCGGAGGATTCTGGGTAGATGAATGCAAAATGATATAAATGAGCTTGCCTCATTCCCAGAACCATGAGCTGGCATTTGATTCCTGAGCAGCTTGTGAGGGAAGGAAAAAAAAATGACACCCTTAGGAGAAAAGCAAACCATTTAGGTAAGAATTAAAGGGTTGCTATGATTTGATTCTCTGTAAACTTAATTCATGGCATCAGCCAATCAATCAATATTTATTAAGTGTATTAAGTACCTACTGTGTGCCAGGTACTGTGCTAAGTGCATCGGTCTTCACAGCATTTTTCTAAACACGTTAGGGGTAAAAAGAAAAACCCCAGAGGGGAGATAGTTTGCCACTGGGCCTTAATAAGAGAGAATTTATGCAGGCATATCTCATTTTATTACACTTCACAAATATTACTTTTTTTTTTTTTTTTTTGTTTACAAATTGAAGATTTGTGGCAACCCTGTGTCAAGCAAGTCTAGGGGTACCATTTTTCTAACAGCATGTGCTCATGTCATGCCCTAGCATCACATTTTGGTAATTCTGACAACATTTCAAATTTTTTCATGATTATTTTATGTGTCATGATGATCTGTGATCCATGATTTTTGATGTTATTATTGCAATTATTTTGGGGTGCCATAAACCGTGTCCATATAAAATGGCAACTTAATCAATAAATGTGTGATCTGACTGCTCTACCAACTCGGCCATTCCCCTGAATCTCTATCTTTTGTCTCTCAACCTCTCTTCAGACCTCCTCATTCTCTGAGGCACAACAATACTGAACTTAGGCCAATTAATAACTCTGCAATGGCCTTTTAGTGTTCAAATGAAAGGAAGAGTCAGCTGATGAGGTAAACTTTTTTGTTGTTTTATTTTAAAAAATTGCCCCAGCCACCCCAACCTTCAGCAAACACCTCCCTGATCGCTCAGTAGCCTTTGACATCGAGGAAAGACCCTCCACCTGCAAAAAGATTACAACTCACTGAAGGCTCAGATGATGGTTAGCATTTTTTTTTAACAATAAAGTATTTTTAATTGTTATATGCATTATGTTTTTAGACACAATTCTATTGCACACTTAATAGACTATAGTGTAAACATAACTTTTATGTGCACTGGGAAACCAGAAATTCATGTGACTCACTTTATTGCCATATTTGCTTTATTGTGGTGGTCTGGAACCAAACCCACAATATCTCCGAGGAATGCCAATTTAGAGTTTGAAGGTTTGCAAAATGTGATCTCATTTGATTCTCACAACAACCTAGCGAGGCAGGTGCTATTATTATCCCCATTTTACATAGGAGGACTGAGGCAGGTTAAGAGACCTAGCAGTGTCTAAGGCTGGATCTGAACTCTGGTTTTCCTGACTCCAAGTCCAATGTTCTATCCACTGCACCGACTATTCTGCCTAATTGCTTTTCAGACACAAACTGATTTAACATGAAAGCATGGGGAGCTCACCTTTTGCTTTGCTCACAGGTACCACACACTGACTTATCCTACTTACCCGTCCCGGGATTACAAGATTGTCAATGCCAATCAGATCTTTCTTGAGTTCATGTAGCTTCTGGAAATTCTCCATCTTTATCATGGTGCCATGGAGCTGTGCCACCATTTCCGTAATCTCTGCCAGCGCAGCTAAATAAAATAAAAAGGAAAGAAAGCTCTAAGTGTTTATGAGAGACATGGGGGCTTATTGGGTTTTCTCCCCCTTCTCCAGTTCAAGCTTCAGGATAAAACCCTCTAGGATGACGATGTCAGAAACCATCTTCCTAGGGTTTAAACAGCATTGCTTCCCTCAGAGACGCCAGCATAACAAAAATGTAATGATTTACTTCCAGTGCTAGCTTACTTTGCTTAGGTTTCTCAACAGCATTTGACACATATAAACAACCCCTTTACTCTTAGTTCCATGGGGTACAATTGGCCTTCAAATATAGCAACCTTGTGGCAGGCAGTAAAGAGAAAGGACCAAATCAAAGTGCTTATAGATTCTGTCACTAGGATACAAAAGATCTCTGAAAGTTATTGTAACTGAAAAATTCATTACCTTGTGGTCATTCTGAATATAGCCTCTCTGAATTTAGCTAGGTTTATTCTCAGATGGATGTGACTAGAAGGGACTGGAGAGATCACTTTATAGATAAGGTAAATGAGGCCCAGAAAAATAAATTGATTTGCCCAAGGTAACAGTGCTAATGGTAGAAACAGGGCAAAAACCCAGGTTCCTTTTAGTCATGGAATCTCACATTTGGAAAGTACCTTGGAGGCCATCTGGTCTAAGCTGTACCTGAACAGAAGAGACCTTTTAGTCCTAGAGCTATTATCACTATTAAAAAAAAAAAGGTAAATATTTCAAAGGCATTAAATCAAAAGTTCCCCAAGAGTAAGGGAAGGTTAAGGGCAGGCCAAACCAGGGATTACATTCTCTGACAGACTATGGGGAAAAGACTCTTGCCAGCAGCATATTGCTTTTCAAACCACTGCAATCTAGCTTTCCAGGTTAGGAGGAGCACCAATTAACTCCTTCTCTGGAAAGAAAACAAACTTGTGAACATTTTCCACTTATATCAACAGCATTAGAAAAAAACAAAACATCACCAAGAAAATCCATTGCCATCACCTTTTAAACTTCAGAGTTAATAACGTACAGAAAATCCATCACCTCACAATTCCTACACGATGCCATTACTGGCATAAAAGTCCCTCTAGGTATCAATCTGTGAGTTAACAAAATTGCAGATGCAGCATTAAAATCCAGGAAACCTGAATGCTCTTTGTGGATGGGACAGCTGGCTCTTTCTACTTACCTCTGCAGTCCCTGAAATCCGAGTGGTTTGGTGGGTAATGCTTGCACAACCTCTCCATTATCTGCTTATAGTGCATAAGCCTGTGCAAAGGCCGAAGGAGGAAGGTGTTGAGAGGCAGATAACAGACTTTCTGTAGCTCAAAGTCTCGACAGAAGCTCTCCAGTCTACGAGAGTTCTTGATCCCATTTTCCAGTTCTACCAAAGCCTCGTTGTGCTTCCACAGGTGATTTGTCAGTTGCTTAGAGAAAGAAAAAAAAAAGGTACATGGGGAAGAAACAGATTTGACATTTGTAAAAATGCAACCTATATTTGGATCCATATGTATACCTGTCCATGCGTTGGGGGAGGTGCAAAGACAAATGGGGCAGTGGATAGAGTGCAGGACCTGGAGTCAGGAGGATCTGAGTTCCAATCTGGCCTCAGACACTTACTAGCTCTGTGACCCCGGGCAAGTCGCTTAACTCTATTTCCCTCAGTTTCCTCATCTGTAAAATAAGCTGGAGAAGGATATGGTAAACCACTCCAGTATCTTTGCCAAAAAAACCCCAAATGGTGTCACAAAGAGTTTGACACAACTGAACAACAACCACAAAGACATTTATTTGAAACTTGACACAATATAGCTCACTTAAAAAAGAAAGTTTTTTGAATTAAAAAAATGTTCTAAGTTTAAAACAACATTGATGGTGTTAAATTTATATCTATTGGAAAATAATTAGGCAGATCTTGAGTATACATTGTTATAGTGTGGCTAAAACAGAGAGGACACATAATAAAGATAGCAGAATAAAAATAATGTCAGCAAAAATATCCCAGCTAATGTACTCAAATGGCAAAGCTCCCTGAATAATGTCAATATCCTCCCTTGCACACAGGCTAGTAACAGCCCTCTCAAAATAGAAGGCTAATAATAAGATATTCACTACATCACTCCTGCAAGTATGTGCAGTGGATGGTGTGGGAGAGGAGGTAGAGAAATGACAGAGGGATACTCCTTCTAACATTTTTAATAGGTTTCTGGTAATGATGACTTTAGGCAAAACAATGATACAAGGGCACTTGGAAAATTTCTTTCCTTATTTTTCTTTTGCTTGCACTGGCCCCCATACTATAAACATTCACAGAAGTGGTACAATTTTTGAAATGCCAAAGCAGCAAGGGAAGCTTACAGAATGACAAAATAAGTTACTAGGCTAAAGATTTAGTACACAGAGAGGGAGGGGTGCGGGTGCGGGTGTGTGTGTGTGTGTGTGTGTGTGTGTGTGTGTGTGTGTCTGTCTGTCTGTCTGTCTGTCTATGGAGTCGGGGAGGGGTGGTTATAAATGGAAACCATCACAGTTCATGTGGTCTTGTAAGACGACTGGACTGGGCTGGAAGAAGAGATCTGATATGAACTGAATGTCAGCACTTGGTATGAAAGTGAAATGCTGTAAGTAGCCAGGAAGGCAGCTGTAAAAGAGAAAACTACCATGAGAAGAAAAGATAAAGAAGGGCAGAGCAGGAAGACAGCACAAGACAAGACAAGGGAGATCCAATGTATGTTAAGCATTGAATGTTTCATGGTGTGGTACCAGGTACTATAAGATGCGAGTTAAAGTAGGCACGGAGGTGTAAAATCTTAGAGCTTCAAAAGCTTAAGCATAGAGGATGCCAAAGGAAGACTGGTAAGCAAGCATAATGAGGTTTATAACAAGCTTTCTGCGTAGAAAAGTGGAAAACGAGGAAAGGCTGAAGAGGACAAGAAACAGGGAACCTAGAAAGTAGATATCATAAAAATGACACTGGACATGGGCAGATGTGAGGACAAAGGCATGAACAGAGCAAAAGAGGACAAGAGGCAAAACTTCAGAAATGGAAAAGACATGAGCTAGTCTGCAATACACGAATCTGTGTGCTTCAAGCTATAATTATGGCATAAACATTTCATCTTTGCCTGAGAAACATATTTAGCAGGAATTCGTTTATCACCAGAAATCAACCATATTCTCTGATATCACATGCAAGATTATCACAGTATTTCAACTGGAAGGAAACCTTAAAACATCATGTAATCCAAATTCCTAATTTGTACAGATCAGGAAATTGGAAAGAACCTCAGAAAAGTAAAATTACTTGACTAAGGTCACATAATAAATTAGTGGCAGAGTAAGGACCCAAATCCCTTTTAGCTGACTTTCAATTCTAGTCTTTTACCACTCTTTACTATATCACAACTAAAATAAGAGCATTGTTAAAGTAATTAGTAAAAGAAAAAATAGGGCATATTATTTAATAACTAATAATACTACAATAGTGCAGCTAGGTGGCACAGTACATAGAGTGCTGGGTCTGGAATCAGGAAAACCTAAGTTCACATCTGACCTCAAACACTTACTGTGTGACCCTGAGCAAGTCACTTCACCCTGTTTGCTTCAGTTTCCTCATCTATAAAATGAGCTGGAAAAGGAAATGGGAAATCACTCTAGTATTTTTGCCAAGAAAATCCCAAATGGGGTCACAAAGAGTCGGATGTGACTGAAACAACAACAAATACTATAACATGAATTATTAATTAATATGATATTAATTATCAATAAAATATTCCAACCAATGGCTTTAAAAAAAATAAAAAAGGAGAGTGACCGATGAGTTCGAGAAAGACTCTCATCAATTTTCCTTTCCTTCTCACTGCATGTTCCAGATTTCCTGAGTCATGTAATCACAGAATGTTAAATCTGGAAGAGACATCAAAGCTCATTTTGCCCATCCCTGTCATTTGACAGATGAGAAAACTGAGAAACAGAGAAGTTAAGTTATAGGTCCAAGGTTATTTAACTTGCCACAACTAATTTGTGGCAAAGCTGGAGCTAGAAACTGTCTTTTGATTCCCAGTTCAATGCTCTTTCTTGCATTGCTACTCAAGAAAAAGAAACACTTACCTAAATCATGTCCATGACTAAGTTAATCTCTTTGGTAAGTGCATTAAGTCAAGCCTTAAGGATAATTTTTATTGTCCTAGACAAATAGTTTATTAAATTCCACCCTCTTGGCATACTTGAGCATTTTACTTGCTCCTAAAACTTATGCTCTCTAACAGTATCTGGCCAACTGGGATGGAAAAAAGTTTGCTTTTAATTTAATTTAAAAGCATTTATGAAGCAGTCCTTACATAAGACGCTAAGTTAGGCACAGGTGATACAAAGACAAAAGAAAACCCAGTCTCCTCATGAAGCTTCCATTATACTGGGGGGACTGAATGTTTACATAGGGTAAATCAATACCATAAACTTAAAAAATAAAGTTGTTCAATTTGGATGGAACACAGAATATATAAAGAATAATGTAAAATAATCTGTAATAAAAAGGTGAACCCAAATTAGGAAGGGTTTTAAAACAGGCATTTGCATTTTGTCCTAGAGGCAACATGGGGTCATTGACGATTCCTGAACAGGGGAGTGACATGGTAGATCTGGAAGATTATTTTGGTAGCTTAGTGGAAGATGGACTGGGTAGTGAAAAGACTAGAAGGAGGTGGACCAATTAGGATGCTACTGCAATAATCCAAGCAATAGGTTAAGAAGCATGGAACTAGAAAGTAATGTGAGAGGAAAAAGGGAGATAGATATATGAGACTGTGGAAGTAAAATGGACAAGACTTGCCAATTTATTGGCTATGGGGAGTGAGAATGAAGACTCTAAGATAACTCTGAGGTTGTGAACTTGACTGGCCAGAAGGATTATGATACCCACAAGAGAAATAGGGAAGTTCGAAAGAGGGGTAGGTTAAAAGGGAAGGACAATGAATTACATTTTGGACATAATTATGTTTGAGATGCCCCTATAATATATCCAGGCGGAGCTGTCTAGCAGGTAGTTGGGATGGGGATGCAGGTTATTGGGCTGGAGAGTGGGGGGGGGAGGGAGGAAAGGAGAACTGGAGAGGAGGGCTAGATATACATTCATGGGACTCCTTTGAAGAGAAGTGGTCACTGGACCCAGGGACATTAATGAGCTCACTCAGAAAGAGAATGTATAGATATAGATAGGTAGATAGACTGACAGACAGATAAACAGATAAGAGAAAGAGAACAAGGAAGGGAGGACAGAAGGGAGGAGAGGGAAGGAGGGAGGGAGACAGAGGGAGACAGAGAGAGAGAGAGAGAGAGAGAGAGAGAGAGAGAGAGAGAGAGAGAGAGAGAGAGAGAGAGAGAGAGAGAAGATATCTTGAAGAAATTCCTTAGTAGATAAGTGAGGTTGGGTTATAATCTACTCAAAGGCACTGAGGAGTGATCAGGCAGGAAGGAAAACAGTATCAAGAAAGCTGAAAGAAGAGAGGCAATCCATGAGACAGGGGTGGGCAACTGTGTCAAAAGCAGTAGAGAGATGAAACGGGATGAAGTCTTGTCATTTTAAGTATTTACAGACCTTTGTACTCTATATTCATTAACAGAAATTTTGAATTTACTGAATTTGTAAATAAATTAAGTTTAGTAACTTGAAAACAACCTAAAACTAAAGTTTAGTTGCAAGAAATTGGGCACTGTTTTAAAAATTAATAGAACATTAACTTATAAAGCACTCAAGATGTATTCTATTTATCTTGTGAACAGACACAGTTCTTGCTTTATGTAAATGGACCAATGTGCAGACCTCTATGTAAAGCGATTTTTCTGTAATGTAAATTTGTCCAAGGATGTGGGGAAGGGAGGGAGGAAAGGAACCAGGAAGGGGCCTTTTGCCCATGGAAAGAGGGGGCCAGCACATGGTTTAAGGACATGTGGGAGCTGGGGACAGAGAAGTGAAAGTAGGAGGAGGAATGCATGGGGGATGGGACCAGCCATGTGGGGGCTGGCTATAAGCAAGAGGAAGAATATGTGTGGAAGCAGAGGGGGCCAGGTGACAGGCAGGGGCAGTGGACAGACATGAGGTACCTGGGCCTGGCTGGACAGAAGACAGACACATGGGTGGATGGGTAGGGCAGAACAAAGGTCTCCTCTCTCAGTGCTAGAGATCTCAAGCCAAGCCCCCAGTCTACTGTTGGTCACTCCATGTGGCTGTTCTCCTTTCACTTGAGGGATTTAAAAAAAATTTTTTTTGGGGGGGGTGGGGAGAGAAGGTGGGTTGGAAGGCCACAGAACACCAAGTCAAAGGGCAGGAGTGGAGAGAGAAAGCACAGTACTGTACAATAAAGTTAACACAGTTTTTTTTTTTTTTATGGAATGCTTATTTCTTTCACATAAAGTGAAATTTGTGTAATGTGAATTTACTTAAAGTAAGAACTGTGTGTAATCTTTTAGATAACTACTGTCATTGATATATGATCCTTAAACGTTCTTGGTGACTTTTGTACCCAGGGTAATAAAAACAAAATCAACTTACTTTCCTAGATGCTTGAAGGTTTTCCAAATAACAATCACGTTACATAGGTAATAAATAAATCAACAAACAATAATTAAGTACTGACTCTGTGCCAGCCACTGTTCTATGTGGTGGGGGCAAAAAGAAAGAATTAAAATAGTTTCTGGACTCAAAAAACTTATTCTCTATGGAGATTAATTAGAAATACTGGGAACACAGTCCACATTTTGTAAATTCTTTTGGGTGATTAATATTATCTGTTTTACAGATAAGGAAACCAAGTCACTAAGGGGTAAAGTTACCCTATATAACTTTATATGCAAATATTTGTTGAACTGAATTATGTCAGAGCCCAGATCTCTGCACTACAATGTTCTATTCTCTCTCAGGACAAGAAAACTTGCATGTTCTCTATCTTGAATGTAAATGATAGAATTGACTATGAATTTCCACATGCTTGTGAATTCAGATTTGGGTCTTGTCTAGGCAATACTAAAACACTCATTTAAAAAAATAAAAAATTGGAGGCACGTAGGTGGTGCTGGAGTCAGGAGGACCTGAGTTCAAATGTGACCTCAGACACTTGATACTTACTAGCTGTGTGACCTTGGGCAAGTCACTTAACCCCACTGCCTAGCCAAAAATAAACAAACAAATAAATAAATAAAATTAAAAATTAACAAACAAAACAACACAAAACAAAAAGAACAGAACAGGGTAGCTAGGTAGCACAGCGGATAGAGCACTGACCCTGGAGTCAGGAGGACTTGAGTTCAAATCCAGGTTCACACACTTACTAGTTGTGTGACCCTGGGCAAGTTACTTAACCTCAATTGCCTCACCAAAAACAAACCAAAAAAAAAATTTCAACATATTTACCAAGAAATTTCACAATCAACAAATCAATTGTTTATTATGTTGTTATTGTTCCCACATTTCTTAACTGTCTGAGTCTTCATGACCCCATTTGGGCTTTTCTTGGTAAAGATACTGGAGTGGTTTGCTACTTGCTTCTCCAGCTCATTTTGCAGATGAGGAAACTGAGGCAAACAGGATTAAGTGACTTGCCTAGGGCCACACAGCTAGTAAGTGTGTGAGGCCAGGTTTGAACTCAGGAAAATGAGTCTTCCTGATTTCAGGCATGGGGCTCCACCCACTGAGCCACCTCGCTGCCCAACTGTTTAGCATACAAAATACTAAGCAACTGTTTTGTTCTAGGTTTTCAGTGATATTACCTCATATTTTGATACTGCACATACAGAAACTTCCCCTTTTTCTGTATGTTTTTTGTTTTTGTTTTTTCGGTCCACACATGTGAGTTCTCCTAAATAATTAAGTCTTAGTAAATTTACTAGCTCCCTCAGGAATTAAATGACTTGTGCATGGTGACACAGCTTATTTCTGTTAAAAGTATGACAAGAATCCAGGTTGTCCTGACTCCAAAACCAGCTGTTTACCCACTATGGCATTCTGACTCTCAGAATCCTTCTTTTTAAAAGGTACAAAAACTGCTTCCCAAGACAGGCCCTGTAATTTCAGCATGCCTTCAAAGAGATTTCTTGGCCTGAAAAATGATTTGCTGAAATACCCTACTTCACAGCTTTATGTTAAAAAAGAATACCATAGAAATTCAGGCATGAAAAATTAAGAAATGCTTGCTGTACACAATGACTCCAGTACTTCTGATGTTATCAAATCTCAGAGAAATTTTAACTCGGAGGGGTTAATTTAATATTTTATTTTTTTCCCAATTGCATGTAAGTACAATTTTAACATTCTTTTTTCAGATTTTGAGTTCCAAATTCTCTTCCTCTTTCCCGGGGGCAGAGGTGGCATTTTCACTGCTGGTGTGGTCATTTACGGCTCCCACAGAAGCAAAGGGAGTGAACTCTCTTTACATTGGAGAGTAGTCCACAATGATGTTGCACCTGGCTTACCTTCATGCCCTGAATGTTCTTCAGCATGACATCACCAATTCTTTGGTAATCTCCTTTGATGTGCGCATTTGAGCGGCCTTCCCTAGGAGCAAAAGCAAAGGAAATTATAATTAGTGCCCAGTTTGACCAATATCACAGTAAATATGCCATCATTTCACAGAAGACCAAGAGGCATTTTTTTTTGCCAAATGTCATAAGATTCCTTCCATGTTCTCCAACTTTCTGATTACTTTTAGAGTACATAGCCTGTTTTGGATTAGTTAGGGAAAAACCTCTCTGTGTGCGTGCATGTGTGCGTGTGTGTGTGTGTGTGTGTGTGTGTTTGTGTGGTTAGGAAAAAAAAACATTTTTAACCTAATTCCAACATCATTTTTCATGTTACACCTGGATAATTTCAGAGTTCCTACAGAAGTCTAAATGCCATTTTTAACAACTAGGAGCTGAAAATCCTGGCTTCTGATGACTTGCTATTTATAGACTAACACAAGTATACACAGCACTTTAGAGAGCTGAAGACACAAAGGAGAAGACTTTGCCTTGAAGAGCTCTTTATCTAAATTAGACCAAGGTAGTCAGGAAAGCCTAGGAAGAGGAAAATAAAATACTTAAAATAAAAAACTGCACAGTCAGAGATGGAAAAACTGGACATAGAAAAAGCCTATTCATATCACTGTTAAGAGAAATAGAGAGGAAGGGGTCAATATACACGCTCTAAATATATTTTGCTTGAATGAATGAATGAAAAAACATTTAAGTGCTTACTCTTTGCTAGGCATCGTGGTAAGCCCTAGGGGGATAAATACAAAAGCAAGAGAGTCATTGCCCTCAAGAACATATACTCTCACAGGGGAATAGATAGATAGAGAGGAGTGATGGTTAACGTCGAGTATTTTGGTCTAGAAATTTAATGGAGCAACAGGAAGTGGACTGACATGCCATTACAAGAAACACAGGTAGGGCTGACAATAGAGGTTATACATGGGTGTGTAAGTTTACAGAAAATTTACCCAGACAGGACTGTCATAGCCAGATTTTTTTAAAAAGAAATATTCCCATCGTAAATCAAAGGCTACACATCCAAACCAACTCCTAAGGTGATGTATAAGTAAATTTAAGAAGTGCGTTTCTAAGGGGCAGCTAGGTGGTGCAGTGGATAGAACTCCAGCCTTGGAGTCAGGAGGACCTGAGTTCAAATCCAGTGTCGGACACATAACACTTAGTAGCTGTGTGACCCTGGGCAAGTCACTTAACCCCGATTACCTCACCAAAAAGAAAAAAAAAATTCTATTCATGATATCTGAGGTGGGTTGTCCACTAAAATAGAATGCTGCAGTACAGAACACAAATCATCAGGAAACCTCAGACTGTATATCTCAAAGGTGTTATTTAATAGCTTTCAAACAATAGAACATAACAGTTTTCATTTCAGCTGAAGTCAGGCTGAACAACATTCAACACATCTGGAATCATATTTATTTAATCTTTAACATATCAAGCATTTCTCCTGGGGAAGGGAGAGGATGGAGGGAGCCCCATGGCAGGGTGCACTCCCATGTTTAATTAAACAAACCAAGGGCAGTTTATAAGGGGGTAAGAGAAGTCTTGTTGGTCAGAAGCAGTAAGTTCATCTCATAAATTACAGTAGTCCTGCAGGTCACAGGCAAATAAACATGCAATGAATAAGTAGCATGCTATTCACTTTGCTGGCTCCAACTAAGCATATTGAGTAAATAACGTTTCAGTGACAACTGAGAGCCCCGAAGCCCATTAATTAATTAAATCTCTCCTATCATGAAAGTTCTGAAGACAAAGCACATGTTTTCCAGGCTTGAAACAGGCTCATTCATCCTCTTTCCTCAGCAAGGTTTTACTGAGGTCCCTATCTGTCTTTCCCTCTCTGTTTTTTCATTCCTTTTCCTTTATTTTTTAACTAAGATTCAAAGGAAAATTCATACTCCAAGAGCATTCTTTCTTCTAACAATTTAAGGCAATAACTTTTATCTCATTAATGTGTTACCAAAAGGAAGGGGGCAAGGGAGAAGAGGGAAATACACCACCATTGTGCTGGTAAAATCGACAGAGATGACCCCTTTCCTCCTCAGAATCCCTTGTCTTAGAATTGCCTCACAGGCGAGACATATCTGAGTAAGATTCCTTCAGTGCTTCAGTAATTGGATGAGGTCCAAGAGAACAGACAACATTAAGCAAGTTCCAGTATATGGTGGCACTGCCAATTAATCAATAATGAGGCAAATTTCTGTCTCCCTCAACTCCATATCAACCAGTAAGTTCTCAGTGATATTTTCCTGCAGATAAGTTACAGTCCACATAGCTGCTGTATCCATCAATGGAACTACTGTAAGGTAACAAAAATCCTAACTTGTAACTGCTACTGTCCTCTCACTTTAGGGGCCATAAATCTCACCACTTCATGGCACTGTAGTAACTTAATCGTTGTCTGGCTTTTGGCCAAAATCATCATTATCTCAAATCTGGACAGAACAAAAGTTGATCAGAATACTACTTTTCTGACTAAAATATCGTTATGGCTGAGATTTGTTGGCAATTCGTTGATTGCACTTAATCAAATGGATAGGAAGCTCAAAGCTCGTGAAGGCTACCTTACAACCTTTCCTTTGATTAGTCAGTCAACTGGCATTTATTAAGCACCAACTATGTGCTTTAGCTCTGTGCTAAACACGAGGGATACAACGAAAGGCAGAAGACAGTCCCGGCTCTCACGAAGCTCATAGGCTGAGTTGGGGTGGGGGATGGGGGAAGACAATCAGCAAACAAGCTACAGAGAGGATAAATTGGAAATAAACGACAAAAGGGAAAACACTACCATTAAAAGGGGTCTAGAAAGAGTTTTTGCAGAAAATGGAAGGTTAGCAAGGCTTGAAGAAAGTCAGAGAAGTTAGGAACCTTCAATATAGCATCTTTTATTTCTTTACACAATAAATAAAAATGATGATGCTCCTAAAACTACACCTCCTGCCTCTTTGAGGGGGAGAAAACCCCCTGAACCCAGGCTCCAACTCTGCATATACTAACTTTATAACATAATGACACTCTAGTGTCTAGTTCATTCCATTAACACCAAAGTCCTCCAATTCTAGTCCAGGCACAGAAATACTCAAAAATGACCCATGAACATCTAAGCCCTTTAATTAGAAAGTTAAGTTTTTCCATCAGCATGAACACTTGGCATTCAAAGCTGCCATTTGTTGATCAAATTGTTAATGGCACCAAAAGACCAATGCTTAATTCAGATTTGTGAGTTGTTATATCGCTTGTAAGCGTGCAAGGTTTTCAAGTGAGGCATATCTTTGGCAATTGTATAGAACAATATCTAAAATTCTGAAAACTACTACTATCTATCTTGACAGTGACCAGATCACATCTAAAGTAATATGTTCAGCTCTCAATACTTCATTTTAGGGAGGGTATCAACAAGCAGAGAAAGAATAGAAAAACATGACCAGAATGATTTCATATGAGCATCACTTGAAGGAATTGGGGATTCTATGTTTGGAAAGATGACAGTGGGAATAAGATGGCTGTCTTCAAATACTCAAAAGATTATTATGTGGAAGAGGAACTGCCAGGAATATACTGGCACCAGCTTGAATAGTTTCACAAGAGTTGATTGTTAGATTTTCAGTGTGAGCTTTTACACTTCAGAAATTGGCAGATGCTACAAATCAGGGCTGGATTTATTGTTTTGTTGATCGTCGAGACGTAAAGAGTGGTGGAGAAAATGTTAATAATGCATATTAAACTTAAAACTGTGTCATGGGCACTTTTTTTTTTGAGATCCACTTATTAACCATGTACCAGCACAATGCTGATGGATTTATGTTAATTTCCCCCACAGGGCAGGTGTTGGGCCAATAGATAAAAACTGCAGAAATGTTAATTTTGGCTCAATATAAGGAAGAACTTCTTAATAATTAGAGCTCTCTAAAAATAAAATGGACTATTTCAAGAAGAAACACCAGGAAGTTTGTGTTTCCCTTATCCTGTGCTTCCCTTATCCACAAGCTCTTAGTAGTCAGGAATGTTTTTGTTTTTTGCCTTTGTATTCCCAACACCAATACAGTAGAGGGGTGTGTGTGTGTGTGTGTGTGTGTGTGTGTGCGCGCGCGCATGCCTGCGCATGCACAGATATTTTTCCTAAAATAATGTAAACTCCTTTAGTACAGGGACTATTCAATTTCTATCTTTGGATCCACAGCACTCCGCATAGTTCCAGGCATAGAGGAGCTTACTAAATGCTTGCTGCTTATTTGGTTAACTGAAATAACAAATAGAGTCAAGATCTCAGACAAAGCAGGGAAAATTGATGTAGCAAGGTTCTGGAAATGCCAAGGGATATGGGATCAATATCGCTTGGAAGAGGGATTAGCATTGAAAGGAAGGGAGCAAAACTGGTTAGGGAGAAAAGTAAAGATAAATTGGGGTAATGGACCAGGAGAACAAGGAATGTGAAAAGGATTGAGGTCATGATGTTCCAGAGACATCCCAAATTCAGTATGTCCAAAACTGCAGTCATCATCTTTCCCCCCAAAACCCACTTCGCTGCCAAAGTTCCTTATTCTTCTATAGGCACCATCATTCTTCCAGTTTCCTCTATTCTTAACCTTAGCAGTGTCCTATACTTCCCTCATTCCTCATATCTAATCTGTTGTTAAGTCTTGCTGATTTTACCTCCATAATATCTACTGTAGCCAACCACTTCTTTCCACTCATACATCTATTATCTTAGTTGAGACTCTCATCACCTCTCACCTTCTTGCCTCATCTTTCAAGATACAAACTCAAAAACCACCTTGTTAGATGAAGCCTTTCCCGATCCTCCCAAATGCGAATGTCTTCCCTCCCTCCCAAACTACTTTGTACTTATTATCTTTAATTTACTTCTGTATGTATATGTTTATACACAAGCATGAATACATATATATGTAGGTCTGTATTTAAATATACATCTATATAAGTATACAAATATATATGTGACACATACTTGTCTTCCCAGTAGAATGTAAGCTTGTAAGGATTGTTTCATTCATTGTATTTTTGTTC